AATCAACCAAATATTCTTACTAACTCACACGAGTAATATATATACCAACATATTTGAACCCATAATCTACCACAACCGTATCATCAAGGAATAACATCACAAGCATGAATAAGAGTTAACCATATCATAAAAATCAAGACAACCACTCATGAATCTTCAAAAAGTCAACAAGTGAAATGACCAAGCAAATCCCCATAACCTTACACAATCAAGTAGCCACAACAAGATAACATGACCAACGTAAACCGTCACATATAATAACCAATAAGTATACATAACATCATACATTAATAATACACCCCAATTACAAGTTCAAGAGGATAACCATCATCATATAATATCATGTATGATGTAGCATCAACATGTTATCATCATCTTAAATATAATTATCATATACATACATAATATTAACTTCCTAAAGCATCAATCAAGGCCAACTAGTGCAAGGGATAAGTAGAGTCTCATACCCCTACCTAGGCTAAGTTAAACCTCTCCAGTCACCCTATTTAGTTTATACTTCGTTTTTTCATTTTAGTTTAGGGAACACTTGCTTTAACCGACATAGACCACAAGATCTAAGTGTGGAATGCGGTGTTGTAAAACCTTACACCAATTCTATGTTATAGTTCATCATAAATGTCTTACCATCAACCCATAACTCACCCCACCTAGGTCATCACATAAACATAATTCAATAACCAACATGATAATAAGTCTAGAAGAATCACTACACTATAATTTAGTACTAACTTAAAGCTTAAGACAACATAATGAGTCAATCGTCATAACCTAGATCACTTCTCAAGAACTAGTATGAAAGACTACAATTGTAATATTCTTGAAATTTAGATGTATAATGAAAATCACAATATGTATTTAAGAATGCATATTGGGGATACATAGGCATTCCAATGTCCAATATTGAGAAATATTTGTAATAGTAAATTGGCTAAGGGGTATTAGCCAATTTCTATACAATGCCCAAATAAGCACAATATTTGGCATATTAGAAAATATATGCTTAAAGAGTGTTAGCCAATTTTTCTAAATGTTAATGAGCTTGTTTAATAGATATACCTACAATAAAGATCCTAAGCTAAAAATCATCATTTTTCATTTCTCACATAAAAGGTATGAGGCATCCAAGTGTAAAGCCTAGATATCATAGCACATGATCAAGTAAAATAATCATATAGATGAAGCAGTGCCCAAGGACATACTGAGGGTCCTAAGAACAATAATTAAACATTCCCAAATGAACCATAAATAATAGTTTGTTAGGAAATTTCAACCAAACCATGTGCAAGCACATGTGCAAGACATGTGAAGAAGCTTCCAAAGAAGGGGATGACCCTAATAGAACTCGGTTAGGGTAGGTAAGGGGAAAACGTGCACAGGGGACCAATCCATGTGGGGCCTAACCTCCCTACAAATTATAGACTCTAACCTACTGGCCTAAATAACTAATTAACCTAGGACTAACCGAATTGGACCCATTACGGAACCCGATAACCTAGGACCAAAACCGGGTTGACACTAACCTAGTTTAGTTATGGTCCTAACAAATTAGGGATACTTTAGTAATACCCCTAGGTTACCTAATTACTTAATTTTGAAAATTAATTAATTAATTAAAAAGGGCTAAAACTGAAAATAAAAAGGAAATTTTCAGATTTCGGATAAGACAAGAAAAGGACAACCTAGTACCTAACCTAGGATGGTCCAAAGAGTTAGTTAAGATCCAAAATACTTAATGCTACTTTATTAATTACCCTAATATACTTAAAAGATTAATTTATCAACTTAATTAATTAAGTTAAAGGGGCAAAACCGAAATCACAAAGCGATATCAAGATTTCGGTTAAAATAAAATTAAAAAATCTAGTACCTAACCTAGGATTATATAAAGGATTAGGTATGGTTATAACGACTTAAGTGTAATTTAATAATTAACCTAGGTCAATTAATTAAATAAATTAGACATTTAATTAATTCAATTAAATGATTCAAACCAAAATTCTTACACTAACCTAGTACGACTCAAGAAACATCCTAGTACTTAACCTAGGATGGTCTAACAGAGTTAATTTTTGTTCCAATGATTTATGGGAGCTTTAATAGTTACCCTAGGTACCTAAATTATTTAAATTAGACATTTAATTAATTAATTAAAAGGTTCAAAACGAAATTCTTATGAAAAATTTCAAATTTGACCAAGTATTGTGTTTTCCTAGTTCTAGTCTATCTAGGAGGGGCTAATCTGTAATTAGTTAATTAATTTATTTAATTATCTTATTAAACCCTAAGTTCAATGATTCAAGAGCAGTTCTTAAACCTAAAAATCACGTTCAAACTCATAGAAAAAAAGGATGCAAAAATAGTAAGCAACGAACGCAAGAAAAAGGAAGAAAATTTATTTATTTCTTTAGGGCGATTTCAAGGTTTCGTCAAAGTGTTGTTCAAGGTAGTCTTCCTAGATTACATTCTACATACGGTATGTTTATCTATCCTATAATTCATTATCCAAGAATATTTTCCTTCGAATGATTCACAAGATGTTGAAAACTAGGGTTGTTCCCCTCGTTCTTGTCGAACTTCCCTTTCCTAGTATTCTTTTCGATTTCAATGTTGAATAGGTTAGAGATCATGTTTTTGATATGTGGTTCTGTATGTTCTTAACATGTATTGTTCTTGAATGATGAGTATTGAATAAGCTTATGAACTTGTGTTGTGTAAAGTTAATCTTATCATGATAATTAAGGATCGATAATATGCTAAGTTATGTCTGTGATGTGTTAAGTGAATATGTTTCTTTGGCTTATTGTTGACTTGCTGTTTTTGTTATTATATGAAGATGTTAAAGCAATCAAATGTAAATATAATGTTGTCCAGCATTTTCATAAAACATTACACTAAAATCCATAATCAAAGAATTGGCTCAAAGACATCTATAAAATAATATCTTGAATGATAACTCTATTTGGTCTAAAATAAAATATATTAAATGCAAGGAACTTGTGTAAATGATTAAAATATTGGAATATGGTTCATACATATGGAAATTTAAATATGAACATACATAAATATTGGTTTATACCAAAAACAATGAATTTGCTAGTCTAACATCCCAAATGTTGATCCAATACTAATCATATGCCAATTCTTGTTTAGTAAGAGTATCAAATTTATATTTAGCACTTATAAAGTAATATAAATGAATCCATAACCAAGGGCATGATATTTATTGGGACAACTCCCAACATGTTCCACAAGAATGAACTATGAACACATTAAACTGCTTGAAGGAAGTGCTCATCGTCCATAGACAGTGATAAGAAGATACTATAAAAAAGAATGTAAGTAACGTGAGTTATATCAAAATTAAAGGGGTCTAAATTAATTAAGTTACCAGAATGGGATGTTAAAGGAAGTGAAACAAGTCTTACTTACACCAAAGCTAATTTCTTAAAAGAATATTCGCAAATGAAGGTGGTAGAATGTGTGAAACTAGTCTCATTATGCCTAAGGATGATATATAAGGAAAATTCACATTCGTCAATGTAAATTAATAATGATATGAAAGAACAATTCACATTTCATCAATGCAAAGTAAAAATGACCAGTCATCAATAGAGTAAGTCAATATCAATATAGAAGCAAGCCTCCATAATGCTTGAGTCAACACTAAAAGATGATGAAATGATCATTCGCGTAAAAAGGGATGAGTAACTAAGATGTATGTAATATTATGATGAAACCCTATCAGGGTTAATTAAGAGTGTGAAACACACTAAATGGCCAAGGGCATGATTAAATGAACATTAACGTAAAAGAGATGAGTAATTATGAAAAACAAATAATGCAAATGAATGTGGTGACAATATGATAAGAGGATAATGTCAAAGATGAGAGTAATCTCAAAAATCCTAAGTAAATGTTACCAAAACGTACTCACCTATGAGAGTGTAATGCTAATGAAAAGACCAGTCTCTATGTACACTCGAATGAAAGTACTGAGACTGATGTATACTTAATACTAATGATGAGATGAGAAATCATCTATTGAGCTATGATATCCTCATACTAGAGTCCATCTTCCATGACGTATGAGTTTAATGAAATGTAACTTTATACTGAGCACCGATAGGCTAGCTATGAGAGGTGATGCCTTCTTTCATGAAGGGCGGAGGTTCACATAACTCTCATGAGATGAGACCGTCTGACATGCTGGGAATGGTTCTCTTTATATCTCCCAGAATTTGAACCTATACTGCTAATATAGGGATCTACCAGGGTTCGACTCCTTATATATTCTAGCATGTTCTGGTCAGTTTGGTCGGTGATTCTATCTTTTGTCTGTGTGGGCAGACATTTGATTTTATTATGCTTACATGATCTATGTTGGCTAAGGATAAAGTTCACAAAGAAATAATGAGGCCAGCCTCAACGAATGCACATTGTAAAATAAACGATACCAAAGGTTTTAAGATTGGATAATCAAGATGTCAGTTAGACATAGTAATAACACTAGGTATTCTTGGTCATTCCACAACGAACACGATGAGAGTCTTAAACGACATCCTAGGTATGACTGGTGGCTACACTAGTATATGAGTGTATGAAGCAGACTCTGTATTTGATAAAAAAGGCTCCCTAGTTGAGTTCCCATATGTTGAGCCCTCATTTTCGGGAAGTCCTAATATCATGTCCATGATTCCAAGGTCTCATGTCATATGAAAGGATAATATGAACTATGTGATATGATTTGTGTAATATGTTATGTGCTATTTGCAAAATGATAAGAATGATGATTCATGTTACTCTCGTGGCATGACATTCCTAATAAGAAATTGGCAAGCAAACTAACTTAACTTTTGATAATTCATATCCATAGGAAAGAGATATTCTTAATCATGTATGTTCTTAGTGTGTTCTTTCGTATACCCTTACTTAGTAAAAGTAGGTACTAATCTCATACAATTGTACATTTTTTTGTGCAGGCACAGTTTCATAGTAGAGCTTACAGGTCGACGCTGAAGCTATACGGACGTGGAGTATTTATCCTGATTTGGTAGGCCTTCATTCTTTCGAGGAAGCTTGGCCATTATATTATAGATTAGATATAGGTGTAAGTTAGTGGAGTATGTTCCACTAGACTTTATTTCTCATCTTATTTCAGACATTTTATTGGTGCCATTTTTTCAAGTATACACTTAATGCAGTATGGAACTATTTCTTTCATTTGATGATCTTAATATTAGATGGTTGATTATGAACATTTATAAGTCTAAGTAGAATGTCTTATATGAATGTTAAGTAAAAAAAAGTTCAAATTTTCCGCTAAAATTAACCTAGATGAAGTAATGGTGATTTATGTAGGCTTTTATTCAACTTCTGAGAGGTCAACAACGCCGATCTCATCTTGGGTATAGACTCAATCATGAAAAAGATTGTACTAGAGTGTTTTGCTTAAATTCTGAGGTTAATAAGTTCACATCAACCACATTGAGTAATTTCTAAGTCTTGGTAGTGAACTGAACCACTATACTGAATTAGAGAATGCATGATGCGTAGGAAAAATTTCCTTCTTCTGATCTTATCGTGCCTTCTCTAATGTATGATGTCATAGTGTTAAGAGCGTATCTAACAACAAATCATGAGACATAGAAAGATGAATACGAGGAGAAACACAGGAAGAGAGATTGGAGGAGCACCTGCTGGGGTAAATAAAGTTCCTCCTGAGGCTCTACTTTTTTGATTGGAGATCCCTTAAACCCAATTGGTTTGACAAATGTAGAATGAGGACAACGATGGTATAGATGGACCAAGACTTCACTTTAAAAGTTTAGGGTATGACAGTCAAGGCGGAGCAACAAGGTGTTCCCAAAGAGAACCCACTGCCAGCACCATGGCTAACAAGTAAAGTGAATTGACAAAGATGAATCCTCCCGTTTACACTAGATCTAAGATTACTTAGAATATCAAGGAAGAGAGTAGGATAACTAAGATGCATGATAGCATGGACCTACCCAGGCTTATGGCACATGTCCAACAAGTGGAAAAAAGCAGAAAGAGGAAGCACAGTAGGGCAGGGAACAATTAAAGGGAAGCTGAGGAGATTTTTTTCAAGGATGAGTAGATTTAAAATCAATGATAAGCCCAGGTTTATAAAGGGACTCACCCACCAAGGGGAGTCAAGTTCATTCAAGGGTCGCTATGATAGGTATTCTGATCCCAGATTTAAGAGAAACAGTGTAGTAAATACACCTCAGGAGATTCCACCTTTTATGAAGTTGTGAAAACTTCATGGAGGAGGGTTTATAAGGGGCTTGAACTCTTGTTACAGTTGTAGCAAACCGGGTCACATGATGAAGGATTGTCCATATATGAGAGGTCGATAAAAAAGGGAAGGAGAAAGTTCAGCCAAACTGTCCAAGTGAAGAGGATCTAAGGAGGCAACACTTTTTCCAACTCAAGTCTAGGGGTGTAGGAGAAGACACCGGTTGTGATGTGTCGGTGCATAGCCTAAATTAGTTTTTCATGTGTATGGTTTTATGCACTAGTATGAAGTTAATATGTTGGAGTCATCATGTTTGTTGCTGATTAATGTGAGTTATGTGTTTATTTATGTTGTATTCTTTGATGAGACTAGGTTAGGAAAGAGTTCCTTAGTCTATTAATGCAAAGCTGCTAGTAGGTTTCAAGGATGTGCGCCAACCTACTATTATGTGAATCACATATTCACCAATAAAAAGCATTGAATTTCTTAGTTATGCGTATGTTCTATTGATTACTAGCATTGTGCAAGACAATTAGAAGTGTCATTCAGGGAAGAATATTCCTAAAGGGGGATAATGTAACAACCCTAAAATGGCTATGCTAAGTAATGCTTAATGCATCTAGAACGCCTACAATTAGACCGAGTTCACACAGATTAATGCGCGTAGAACCAGACCTCTGAACCTCTGCAACATCCAATCCAACTAACTTGGTGAGTTATTTGAGCTAGAAATCTATTGGTCCAGCCATGTAGGGCACCCGAATATGATGATTTACCCAAATGAGTCTTTACCATACTTAAAAGGGGAAATCTTATGTTTAGAGGGTCTAGAAATAAAATGGAACTTTCAAGGCTAAGGGTAGTATTGTAATTACCCTAAATATATAAATAATTAATTATTTAATATGGTGGAGGGGCATTTTGGGGAGAAAGAGCCGAAATTGGCCTTTGAGCAAAATCATGCTCCATCCGGGTTCGAACCTTGGTGGAAGCAATGATTTAATTGATTTATTGTATTTAGTGAATTAGTTAAATTAATTAACATTTAATTTTCTGATTTAATTAGAGGAAAATTAGATTTTTTAATAAATAATAATAATAATAATAATAATAATAATAATATATAATAAAGAGTACTAGTTTTACTAAGTCTCTACCTAACTCTCCTAATCCTAATCCACTCAAACTCACGTTTCTCTCCATTCTCATCTCACTTGAGCTTCATATTTTTCTCTAAAAGAACAGAACATCAAAATATAATGTTCATCAAGAACTTGAACGATAAAAAAAATAACTCAAAAGAAAATTTAGTCTAAAAACGTAAAGCAAAACAAAGTTCTTGATGGGATTGTGCTTGAAGTTTCGATGTTGAGGCTTGGTTTCATGATAAATTGGCATCATTTAAACAAGTTTTTAACGGTATTAAGTTATGGGTTTTATTATCTCTTAGTCCCTTTCCCAAGATAACCCTAAGTTCAGCTTAATTCTATTAAAAAAAAACTAACGTTGTCCCCATTGAATGCCCCTTCATTAGATCCTTTGAATGATTTAAAGTATGCGTTTATATGAATTTTGGTAGACGATTATAGGGCTAGTTGTGATTATGTATTTGAATGTTTATTGAAAAAATATTTGAGAAATGAAAGTGTTCCGAAAAAGTGAATTACGTTAACTTTATTGTGCATGTTTATGCTGTGAGTAAGAAACAGTTTGAAGCTTGGATTTTTACATGTTAAAATATTATATTTTATGTATATGAAAATATTAGAAACATTATGTTCATATTATTTCAAGTATTGTGAATTGAATGATAATTCTTAATTCAAAGTAACCTTGAAAATGCACCCAAAGATCTCCCTAAAAACTATTCGAAATGTCTTGATGTTTAACATGAAAGAGGGTAAGAAAATGGACTGAAAAAATGTGATTAAATTCTCGAAAATAACATTGAAAACTCACCTTAAGATGCACTAGATGTTACACGAAAATTTATCCTAAATCTAACATCTAAAATTTGAGAAAATGGAATGCAAAGAAGGTAACAAAAAATTCAGCATTCTGGAAATAATTTTTTGGCAGCTTACTGTAAAAAATTCACGTTCAAATTTTTTTTTTAAAATGCTTGAGGTCAGTGAGGATTTAACCAAAGACCTCAACATATACATTTCATAAAAAAAAACATCTTAAAATGTGTTAAGGGGGATTCGAAATACGGTAAAGCTCAAGTGAAAAGTTAGAGGGAAATGAATGAAAATAAAGTGAGGCGTGTGGGGTTCGAAACCACAACCTCTTTGACGAATGAAGGAGAGAGGAGATGAATGAAATAAAGAAAAAATAAAAATGAGGTATGTGGGATTCGAACCCACAACCTCTTGGAAGAACGAGAAGGTAAGGAGAAAGTGTAAATTAGAATAAGGTGAAGGCTATGGGGATTCTTACCCACAACATCTTGGAAGATGAGAGAGTTAGGATAAAAATAAAGGAGAAAAAAATTGGTGTGGTGTGTCGGAATTTAACCAACAACCTCTTGAATAGATGAGAGTGTTAGGAGAAAAATAAAGGAGAAAAAATGGATGTAGTGAAAGGGGGTTGAACCCACAACCTCTTGAATATATGAGAGTGTAAGGAGAAAAATAAAGGAGAAAAAAAATAGATGTGGTGAGTGGGGATTGAACCCATAACCTCTTGGATAGGTGACAAAGTTAAGTGATAAATTAAAAGAAAAAATAATGAGCTTGTGGGGGATTGAACCCACAACCTCTTTAATAGATGACAGAGTTAGGAGAAAAAAATAAAGGAGGAAAAATAAATGTGGAGAGTGGGGATTGAACCCGTAACCTCTTGGATAGGTGAGAAAGTTAAGTGATAAATTAAAAGAAAAATAATGATCTTGTGGGAGATTGAACCCACAACCTCATTGACTTAAAAGAAAAACGGAGAGGCGAAACAGAAATGAAATATTATGGGGTTGGTGTTAATCGAACTAGGGTCCCACAAATCTGGAAAAAAACAATTATCAAGTTTATAATAATATTAAGTGTTGTCCAAGGGATTCGAAATCGGGTTCCCTCCCCCAATTCCGTATTGACACATTAGTCATACGTAAGCAAATATTTAATTAATGCTGCCTCTGAAGATCGAATTCAATATCTTTGAATATCTACATGATGCATAAGTCTTGTACCACATAATATTGGGTAAATATGAATCACTTAGAAAAACTATGAATGAACCTTTATGGTTTGTAGAGTGAACTCATAACCCTAGAAGTTTTAAGTAAGAGTGTGAAACACACTATATGGACATGTGCATTAGCGTATGATGAAATGAACATTCACGGGAAGGGGTACGTAATTATAAAAAGCAAATTTGTTAATGTTAATGAATGGGGTGACAATATGGTAAGATGCTAATGTGAAAGATGAGAGAAATCTCAAATGAGCCTAAGTAAATGTTACCAAAACGTACTCACCTATGATAATCTAAAGCTAATAATGGGACTAGTCTCTATGAACACTCTAATGAAAGTATTGAAGTTAATGCATACTTAATACTAATGGTGAGATGATAAATTATCTAATTAGCTATGATGCACTCATGATAGAATCCTGCTTCCATGATGTATGAGATGAATGTAATTGACCTTTATACAGAGCACCGAATAGCTAGCTTTGAGTGGTGATATCTTCCTTCAGGAAGGGTGGAGGTTCACGTGACTCTCATTAGAATAGATTGTCTAGCATACCGGGTATGGGTCTCCTTATATATCTTAGTCTTTTAACCTATGCTTCCAATATAGGGATCTAGTAGGGTTCAATTCCTTGTGTACGCTACCATGCTTAAGTTCATATTGGTCGGTGATTCCACCTCTTTTCGGTGTGGCGATTACACACTAGATTTCATGATGATCACATGATATATGTCGGTT